AGAAATGATGTAGAGTGGTAAAAAAAATTTACCCTATCCATGCCAGAGTTCAACACCATACCTTGCTTCAGTTCTGTCTCCCCAAAACTCAGTTCATAGAAAACAGTTACTGGATGCAGAAGAAAAAAGAGAACAATAAGTATCAAACACATATGTGAGCCAAAAAAAAGAAGAAAAAACATTACTATGAAACAACATTATAACTAAATAAATAATAAAAAGTTAAAAGACAAAAAAAATTAAACAGAAATTACGATTATATATTCTTCACAGAAACAAAATCAATTTCTTTCATGAATTTCTCCAGATCCATGAAAATGGCGTGAAGAAAGTGGAAATGGCGTGAAGAAATTATTGAAAAATAATAATAAAAAATGGAAGAAAGAGGAGATAACCATATACACTCAAAAAAATGGCGTGAAGAATATCTTCAAAGAAATCAGAGATTCAAATGCTTCTAAGCATATCCACTCAAACTCGATCTAATCTGCAAAATGCAAAGGAACACTATAAGATGCAAAAAGAACAACAAAAAATGAGAAAAATTTGATTAAATCTGCACGAAAAGAGAACGTCGAAGAACAAGAGAAAGAACTACGAACAAACAAATTGTGCACTGATAAAAAAACGACAAACAGATAAAAAAAGAACGACTAAGAACATAAAGGATGGGTTTTTCCTCTGATATAGCAGATGGAAAAAAAGAAAAGAACAGAAGAACAGGAGAAAGAAGAAGATGAGAAGGCGTTTAGGGTTTTGTTAAATGCTTAACAATTTCAATGAAAAAAGCAGTTGAACATTTACTGAGTTGTCAGTTTTCAAAATTTAAATTTTTCTCTTTTCTTCCACTTTCAAAATTTGAAAAGGATTACGAGCTGTGTCCCAATAAAGATGAGAACAGATCTAAACCATTGATTTTGGACAGCAAATCGTGGCCATCAATTTTGAGTCCAGATTATAATTTCTTTTTGAATTTTTTTATTCCCTGAATTACCCAAAAAGGAAACTTTTTGAATTGTGGAGTGTGAAAGCAAACACGTGTCAGAAGGAGAAGCAGCCACGTGTCAGAAGTTGCCAAAGAATGACTTTGTCTTAGAATATAAGATTTGTAAAGAAGCGTTGTAAATTGTAATTTGAGACATTGTGTATTATTGAAGCATGCTATGTGATGAAAGGGCAATAGGCCTATTCTAGGATTTGATTTATGTTTTATGTCAAAGAATGCATGCAAAGAAATTAATGTGATTGAAATGGTTTAAGAGTAGATATTGAAATTGTCAAGTTGTAAAGTGAACTCATTGATGTAAATTGTAAAGGGTTGTAAGAGCACCAAGGCATTGCTGGTCCTTGAGTGCCACCCATGTCTATTAGGTACCATTTTAGGTTAGATAACACACCTTTAAATGTAGAATTTATTGGAAAAATAAAGGAGACTCTGTCGAAATTTCTAAAAATTGGCAGAATTTGGGTGAACTTTGACAGAGCATATATCCCTCCACAAAGGTCCAATATGGACGTGCCATACGTCATTGTAAATTTTGAGATGTTAAATACCTTGTGTCAAAATTTGAGAACCAATGGAGCACCGCGCAGCCCTGTAGAAGCCAGAGAGCACGGACTGCTCAGAACGCCCCTGCACATGGGGCTGTTTCTGGCAATTTTTGGAAAATTTATCCCCACTTCGTTTCTTGGTCAAATTAGGTGCATGATATGTCAAATTTAAGATTGAGGTGTCTAGTTTACTGTATAAAAATTTGAGAGAAATTGGTTGAGTGAATTTTCCAGAATCATTGAGAGAGTGAAGACTGTTTAGAGCCCTGTTTGAGGTTGGCTGGCAGATTTGCTTGTCCAACTTCAAACGGTGATAACCGGAGTAAACGAGAACTTTATGACTCGTGAGATAGCTTGTTAGAAAGATAATAAAGTGTAGAATAAAATACTAAAAGATGAGAGGTTCGAGTCATGCGGTTTAGCCACAGTAATTAAAATACCGAACCATGTTTCAGATTAGTAGAAAACGTAAAAGTGAGATTTTAGCTAAGTGGGTTTATGGGAACCCCTTAGTGATTTGAGAGAAGTGTTTTATGATATTTAGACATTTTATATTATTATTTCGCAAAGAGTTATCAGTTACGGTCACATCTTTTATTTATTACGCTTTATTATTGTTTTAAATGCCCGCGTAATAAAAAGAAAAAAGTTTACTCGCATTTTTATAAATGAATTACTGTGATTGTAACTGCGCTTAATATCATAATCAATGTTAACAATACCGGTACGTAACAGGCTGTTACACTCGCCTTCTTAGGCAAACACCTGGCTAGCTTGAGCCTAACCCGGCTCTGATATCTTTGTTAGGTGAGTCCAGGAGGAGCCTGTGGCGAAGGATCACCACCAATAGGCTAAGACTATATCATCATATCAAGTGGATCCTACACCACATCTTAACCCAAAACCTTAAGGCATTGAATTAATGAATCTTTTCACTTATATAGACTTAACTTAACCCAATACCAACCAATGTGAGACTTATCACACTTGAATATTTCAACAAGTTATATTTAGTTTGGAATCTGCTTTAGTTTTTGTTTTTGTTTTTCATATATTTGTTGTTTGTAAGATTTTACTCTTACCATGAATATGAACTAATTTTCCTGAGATTGGGAAACATAGTACCCATGTTTAGTTTTTGAATGAGTTTGTGTAAACCTTTTTGAACTCGGTTGGTTAATGTTTATTTCCTAATGTTTGTTATGTTTTGGCCAAGCATAATGGCATATTGAAGCTCCATTTCTTGAAAAATAAGGAAGCTGATTTTTGCATTAACCTTACGAGGTTGAATGAGGGATCATTCAAGTTATGAAAACTCAGAAATAAGATCAACTCGTCTGATTTAATTGAACCTAAAACATAGGCTCGTTTTGGGTTGCTATTCTACATAAGCATATATATATGAATAATAACTCAAAATCAACGAAAAACTTCATATTAAGAAACATGAGCTTATAATTGTTCATCAACTACTATCTCAACATGTTTCTTAAGTCAATATTGATAGTCAATTCATCAAATTTTTTATTATGAATTATTTATAAATGATATTCTATTAAATTAATAAAGTAACAAAAAGAATAAAAATATTAGGAAAGTTCCTGTCGAAAAAAAGAGACAAGAAATTTAATACTAAAAAATTTACATTGATATGATAATTTTCGATGCTAACCATCATTGTCATAACAGTTATTGATTCTTTATCTTTCAACTTTCATTATTAACTATCATAAAATAATCTTTAGTAGTATATTTACCAAAAAAAATAAAAGAAAATCCATAATGGTATTTTTATAAAGTTACTTATACATGCAAAATGCTTTTTGAACTTAGCCCCTAGTTGATGCCTTTCTTTTGAATATGTAATTATTATTCTGATATGTGGGGTGATTTCTAAATAAAAGCATTGATCTCAAAGAAGCACACTGTACAACCAACATAAATCGGAAGCACACTATAAGGTAGTGTTTCGTTGAAGGTTTATTTTGGGATTGATGGGAAAGTGTAAGTGGAGATTAGAAAATACCACGTTTGGTTCAGGTTTTTTTTAAAAATACCAGGCAAATAGGATAGATGGGAAAATGACTTTTGTGTTGATTTTTGGATGAAATTTACTGTTACAGAATACCACTTGAGATATGGTATTTTGAGATAACTGGGGAAGTGAAAAAACAGGTGCAAAGTTTCTCCCGAACATAAATTTTGCATATTTAAATAAATTTTCCTGGTAATATTTGGATCAACCAAATAACTTTTTTTACATTTTCCTACCAAACTCACTTTCTAACCATTTCCCTATCAATTACATTTTTCTAGTAAAAAAATTTCTCCCGAACCAAGCTCTACCTCATAGATGACATGCAATGGTACAATAAATGAGAGAAAGGATGAGAAATGAAAACGAGGCTTATTAGAATTGCCTGGGAAGTAGATGAAGGCGGAGATACTTGAAATGTGAAAAGTGGAAACTGTGAAAACAGGCTTTGGTAATCAAATTGATCAGCATATTTGACAGATAATTGCCAACACTAAGCATGACATTTCTTTTGAAAAGGCATGGTGTGATATATAAGACCTAATAATATAAGCTTATATTATACGTTATAAATTTTTAGTTATTTGGTGTGATCGTATAGTATAAACTTATATAGCAGAATCCCTTAATACATCAAAATAATGTATAACTTAATCAGGCCTAAGGATGTGAGATTAGATATAATAAGGGATTGATATATTAACATAGCTAACTAGCGTCATTCTCAAGAATTAATATATTAAAATAAAAATAAATTTTTCATATATTAATTTTTAAAATATTGGAGATTTATGTTTTTATAAAAATTAATTTTTTGAACACACTAATCAATATATTTTTATAAAAATTAATATCATATGACATATTTAAAAGAGTTATATAATTTTTTTATTAAAGGGTATTTTAGTCAAAAATATTTATTTTTATCCTATACAGTATTATACAATGCATTACCAAATACTGGATAATTATTATCTTATACTATACATTATCTTTTACGATATAACATCAAACAATGGATACGTTGAATAATATTAAAATTTAATCAGGTCTTATACAATAAAGTCTTATACTGTCAAATCTTATCCCACACTGCGTATCAAACAGACTCTAAATATCGTCATAATATTTTATTTTTGGGCCAGGCCGTCATGAGGCCCATGCCCAAGTCCAGCCCAATTGTAAAAACCAAAAACCCCCTTCAGCAGAAGCGACGTTTCTCAAAGAGCTGAAAGATATTCATTTAATGTAACAGCCCTTGAATTTGGCCTTCCCGCCCAATCCCTAAGTCTTCAAAATTTCAGCGCTTTCAATATATACTAATCCACTCCTCTCTCCCCCTCGCTCTCTCTCATTCTCCCTCTCTCTCTCTCTCTCTCTCTCTCTCTCTCTCTCTCTCTCTGCCTTCGCCGCCATGTCGAGCAAGCGCAAAACCAGGTCGTCCTCCTCCGCCGTCGCCGTCGCCGACGTCGATCCTAGTTCCGACCAGTCTCCGAACAAGTCCATGAAAATGGAGAACCTGATGAGTCCGGCAGCTTCACCAGCCGTCAAAGACGAACAAACAAGCTACGCCGATGCTGCTCCTTCAACAACCGATGGCAACGACAGTGACGGTGAAGAGTCTGTCGCTGTGTTTGTCGGAGATCCTGTTCCCGACGAGGATGCGAGGCTGCGCTGGCCCCAACGGTACAAGGATGAGGTAACTTTGACATTGGAACATGATGCATAAAAATGCTTTCCGTTTGGTTCTGATTTTGTACTAAAATTTGTGACAATGCCAATTAATCTGCTTGTGCATTTTTAATCATGTGTGAATGTATAAGATTTGTAAGAATTTTCTTAGATTTGTAAATGCAAATTTAGTAGAATTTTTTTTTTAATTAAAAATTTTCGTTTTTATTAATGAAGATTCAACATTGTATTATCTTCATTAAATCTGAGATCCCCTCTGCATAAGTAGCTCGCAGTATCGGTTACAAAATAAATTAGGTGCCTGAAGCTGTTCCTGGCACTGTTGTTGTTAGGATTGTTGTCAAAAACTAATGTAAAAACATTTTACGTTTTTACTAGAAATTTTGCGTGTTAAAACACAAGTAAAAACGAAAAAACTGGTAAAAATCTCACGTAAAAACGATAAAAACTTACGTTTTTACCGTACTTAAAAAACGAAATTAAAAAAAAAAGATTTACAAAAAAAAAGAAATTAAAAAAACCCAATTTTCATTTTCCTTGAATCATATGCACATTATCTTGATATTTTTTTGTTTGGATATATGTCTTTTATAATTATGTCTTATAAAGCTGTAATTATATTATAAGTTATGCTATCAGAATCATATTGTGTTTTTGGATCATTGTGTGCATTGAATAAAAAAGTGGAATTATATCCTGATGAGCGATGATCCAAAATCTGCAAAGTGTATAAAGCAGTTAGAGTAGATTGGTTATCCATTACTTGTTAGTTATCACTGTTTATAATTTTGATATTTGGGTATCAAAAATAATTTTTTTTTTTAGATAGATAAGTGACTCAACACATATGTTCATTATGTGATTTTTTTTTATATGCATATATATAATTTTGTATCTTGATCTTAAGTATTAAAATGTAGAAACTTTACGTTTTGTGTCGTTTCTATTACTCCTTTCCGTTTCTACATAAAAACTCGAGTTTGACAATATTGGTTGTTAGAATACAAGTAGTGTGTTCCCGTAGGTCTAAACTAGCCAGATAGGGGAATAACGGGGTGTGGTAAAAGTAAATTAGAGGAGAGAGGAAGGAATTTTGATGTGCAAAAAGGGGTAGCTTACGTGGGTGGCATGAAAAACATTTCTGTTTCTGAAGTTTATAGTTGGGCTGGGAGAATTCCTTCATAACTGGGAGCATTTGCTCTTTCTTTCCTTAATTTTCTGTATTTTCAGATGCTATATATCAATAGATTATCGTCTCCCTTATTTCTGTAGGAGACATTTTCCCATCAGATATTCACTAATTATTGTGATTAATTTCATTTTTTAAATTCATTTTAAAGGTTAAAGAAAATATGATATTAGAAGACTAATTTTTTGTTGCACATACATTTTCAGGGATACTTGAATATATTTATGAATGAAAGAAAATATGATGTTGCTTTTATCTTGAAAGGTTAATTTGAACATTTACTGTTAAGAGCCATAGTGGGCAGAGACTTCTGAGAAAATATCTTATCAGATTTACACTAGTCTTTCTTGAAATCTCAAGTTTCTGTATCAAATATTTATGGTGAAAGTGCAAATTATAAGTTATAAAGATTGAAAAGTTGCATGTCCTAATTTAATTACCTTAATAATATATCCTAAATTCGTGTAAGTAGTGTCTAGATTCCTGTGTACACAATTTAAGGTGAGCGTTAAATGGTTTTTTTTATTAATAAATATCTCCATAATGGATCTATAATTTTATCATTTGTGTCCTTTAACAATTGGGATTATTGCTCTGGTCTGATTAATTAGCAAATATTTTATAAGGGTTAGTAGTTGTAATGTATAACTGTATAATAAATTTGTGATTCCACAATCGGCACTTTGAGTATGGAGCATTGTATTGATTTTCTTATTAAGGGTGAAAATGGTAAGCTGCAGCACCATGCAATGAAAAAGGGCGATTCATTCCTCTAGGCATATAGTTTGTGTACTGTCTTCGTCTTGCACTCTTTATTCTCATTCTTAAAATGTTTGAGTACTGTGTTCTTTGTATGCTATGTTTTATATTTAAGGTTGCATACATTAAATCGAATTGGTTGTGCCACTGTGATGCAAAATTCTTATTTCGACGTTACGGAGGTTGGGATAAATGAAGATTAAGGACTGCGTGGTTTGTTTTTAGTTTTTAATTTGTATTAATATGTTTTGGTCAATAATTATAATTTTTTTTATTATTATTATCATTAGTTTTCCGGGCATCATATTTTTATACCAGCGTAAAAATAAGAAGTTTTGCACTTAATTTTAATTATTGATCCACTTGTATCCAATGACTCACGTTATTAAAAAAATTAAAACTATTAGATTTAAGTGGGATTGACGATCAAAATTGAGAGTATAATTTACACTGGTATAAAATGATATGACTCTTAAATTTTTATTTTTTTAAAAGTTTGTAATTATTAAAATTTTAATATTTTTCTTTTTCTATTTTTTTTAAATGTTAGTAAAAAGAATAAAATAAAAAAGGATTTTTTAATTATAAATTAGCAAAAAATAAAAACCAAAAACAAAAATGGAAACCGTTTGATTTTGATGAAATAAAAAGGATTTAATATTTCTATAGCAAATCTAGATAATTTATTTACATTTACTCTCAAAATGATCTTGTTCTGAGTTGAAAAATTATAATGAGAAATACTATTATAACTCTGAAATAAATTATAATTACAAAAATATCTTGATTTTCGTTTCAAAACGGTGTCATTTTAGACTTAATGTAAATAATTTATCTATATTGACCGCATAAAAAGTAAATCCAAATAAAAATTATCAAATTCATTAAGTGATATAATAAAATTTTATTAGATAAGCGCGATAAATTTTTCTCAAACTTACAGTATAATAAAATTAAAATTTAATTACAAATATGTTAGCATAATTTCATTTTGTTTTTATTATGTTTTGTCCTCAAAGCTTACTGTCTCGTATTAACAAACTTAAAACTCGTAATTAGTATTTTGTGATTGATCTCTTGTTAAGTCCAACTCGAGTTTTTTAATTTTAGTTTTTTCTTGGTTTTAGAAAAAGCAGAAATCAGCTGGGGCAAAATCAAACAGGTACATAGCTCGTTTGGAGAACTAAGCTTTGACATTTTTAATTTCCGTGTCACTTTCCTTTTCTTAGGATCTTCTCGTGATAATGTTTTCTGTAAATAAATTTTTCAATCTTGTGATATACTTTTGATGTTCTTATGCATAGTAGCGATGACGAGGAGATTCTTCAAGCGCGATGTCACTACACTCAGGCAGAAGTGGATGGGTGTACGCTTTACAAACTTTACGATGATGCCCATGTAAAAGTGAGTTCAAATATATTTACTATTGTATTATCATGCAGCACATGCAGTCAAAATATATATGCTCCAAACTAGTCTCTCAAGTTGAAATGATTTGTCATTGTGTCATTGCTTGATTCTCTTATATGGGATCCTAGTTGTGCTGAAAGTTTAAAATCAGTTTATGAAGAGAATTACTATATACATGATCTAGGCTGTGAAAGATATACCGATAATTTACGGTCAGGTAATAATATTTGAAATATGATTCCAACGAAATTAAAATAGGTATTAATTTGAAATTTGTCAAATGGCTTAACTGGTAAAATCCTTTGTTCGTGACTGCAAGGATTTAGGATCAATTTATGCCTTTACTCGTCTCCATCTTGGGTGTAGTTTGTGCATGTTGGTGTGTCTTCCTGTATGGTATTAGTGAGTCATTTATTAGTTGTTATCTAAGGGGTTTCATAGATCGAATTTCAAATTATTGCCATTTTGAATACCTTAAAGACTGCAATATAGAAGCTGCAATTACCATTTTGGACCGCATGTTTATGTGACTAAATTGCAAGAGGTGTCGCTCATGCTATGCCACAATTGGACAGGGTTGGCTTGGAAGTTCTGTGTTCATAATCATACATATATCGTTTCCCAAAATCATTGCCATTATCATTTTCAATCATTGTTGTATCACTTTTGCTGCTAATTTGGCTTTGTGCCGTGGTCATCATAGGATTGGAAGTGTTGGCTTGGTCAATGTTCATGTCACTAGTATAATAAGCTGGGTTAGTACATATGGCTACAAGGCAAAAATACATCAGACGCGGATGCTTTATTATCTTGCGGAATTTTCAGTCTTTTATATATCTATATACGTGTGTGCGTGAGCGCGTTAATTCCAAACATTGTATTACAGAAAGAATTAATTTTGTGCTTGTCGTGTGTAGATTTAGATATTACATAAATACACACTGTTCTTTCTATAAAAATGCAAATCTATGCACAATACTAATTCTTTCTGTAACAAAACGAAACTAATGTTACAAAAAAACTAGAATATTTATAAATCATTGAAAGAGATATGCACGATTCCTTTTATATTAATCTAAATTTATGCAACGTACTGCGTACATGCACGATACCAATTCTTTTTGTAATAATGTGATTGATACTTTTTAATATTCAGGCAGAGGAAGGAGAAGACTATTATATTTGTAAGATTGTAGAGATGTTTGAGGCAGTTGATGGGGGATTGCATTTCACGGCACAATGGTATTATAGGGCAAAGGACACTGTAAGTTACATTTTTTTTTGTTTCTTTTTAGATCTTATGTGATGCTCAACCATAACAATTATTGGATGGTAATTTATTGAGTTTGGATCACTCTCATATCTTGCAGGTCATTAAAGACCTTGCATATCTTATTGAACCAAAGCGAGTTTTCTTTTCAGAAGTCCAGGATGACAACCCATTGGATTGTCTTGTTGAAAAGCTAAACATTGCAAGAATACAACTAAATGTATGTTAGCAGTTTATGATTATCTTTCGTATTGCTTTCTTAAGTTTTTTATGGTAGTTATTATAATTGTATTTCTAGAATTTTGTAATAATTAAGTTTGATTGCAGGTAGATTTGGATGCAAAGAAGGAAACCGTTCCACCTTGTGATTATTACTGTGATACACAATATCTATTACCGTACTCTACATTTGTTAACTTACCATCAGGTTTTATTTTATCTTTGCTTTTTTATTTGCAATTGTTGTTTTTTAATTTTTAGTTGCTTCTCATTTTTGGTTAATAATACAGAAAGTAGGGAAGCTGCTAGTGAGACGTCATCAACAATATCTTCTGAGATTGATGTGAATGGAAGATCTGAGGTGAACTCTCAAGTTGAGGAAGCGTTTTATCCTGAAGAAAATAAAGAACCAGAGTTGAAGTTACTAGACTTATATTGTGGTTGTGGAGCAATGTCAACTGGTTTGTGCTTTGGTGGGATTTTGTCTGGTTTGAACCTTATTACAGTGAGTTCTTTGCTTCTTTGTTGTAAAGCAATTCATTTTTCTTTGTTTATGCTTATTTTGATATAATGTTAACTTTTCTTTTTCGCAATAGAAATGGGCGGTGGACTTGAATAAACATGCTTGTGAAACTCTTAAATTAAATCATCCCGAAACAGAGGTAAATCTTTGTGTTTCTTTCTTTGTATATATGTATGTATGTTAAATTTTGTGTTAGCACCCTTCTTATTTTGCAGTGAATAAAATTGTTATAATACATAATTTATATCCACAGACACACGCAGAGAGAGAGAGAGAGAGAGAGATATAAAAAAAAAAACACTCCCCGTTAAACCTGACTAGCGAGTGTGGGGTGGAGGAAATTCTTGTACGCAGTTTTACCCTTGCATAATTGCAAAGAGGCTCTTTTCCTGGATGTAAAGAACCTTGGGATACACTACTCCAAAAGCTAGCTCAAAGGGTGGGAGTGCCCAAGGTCTTATAAACTCCACATTAGTTGCTCATACAACCAATGTTGGACTATATATCTCAACACTGGATTCGAACCCATGACCTTTCAGTCATGAAGGAACAGTTTTATCACTGATCCAGTTCGCTCCCCAGATATATATATATATATATATATATATATATATATATATTTAAAATGAACAAAATTTGTAAGGTTTTGAAACTTGCATGACTTGGTTATTTGTCAGTTATGTACTTATAGTGTGGGTGTGACATTAATCATTACATTCTTAAAATATATATATTTTGAGGATAGCTTTTAACTTAGTGAAGTTGAAATCCCTAGAATTCTACCCTAATAGCACTCTTGTTTTTGCCAATTAACAGAATGTCATTATGTTATTTTCCTTTGTCTATTATTATCCATTTCTCATTATGTTTATAGCTCAGTGGTTTTTCTTGTTTTCTTTACCAATGGTTTAAATTACTACTTAAAGGTTCAACCACTCAAAATTATGTGTTTCCTTTCTGGCTTCAAGGCGCTGTCTCAGCAATGTTGAGAAGATTATGTTTTGCTGAGAAGATTGTTTTTCAAACAGATTCCTGATGCATTTAAAAGCCTTTGTGAAATAGTAATCTTAAGTTTTACATAAATAAATTAATTTTCATCATGGAGGCTATATACCGTGAGGTTAAAAGAAAGGAGTTGATGTCAAATTTTATGTAGATTTGAGGGATATGTATGATGGGGCAATCATCAGTCATGAAGACTGATAATAAAATATATTTTTTAATAGATTTGCAGTTGAACTTGCACTAAGGGTTGGTTTTGAGGGGTACATTTTAAATCATCCTTTTTGTGTTTGGAATTTTTGGTTGCCTTCATGTGCGAGAAAGCTTGATAGTTTCAATGTCAACAAATATCAAACTATCTTTTAAGAAAGAATTCATATCACGTGTATTTGTAAATATTCAATCAGTAATTTACGCATGATATTGATTTTTTCAGTAATAAAAATAAACGAATTTATTTGTAAATTTTTGATAGAATATTTACAAATATGCACATTTTTTTAATAATTTAGATGCATGCACGATATCAATTCTTTTAATAGTATTCTATAATTATCTATGCACTAAGCACATATAATACCCATTTTTTCTGTAGTAATTTCTATTTTTTAACAACTGACCTTAGAGAGGAAATTAGAAAGGAAATAAATAAAGATTCTGAAAGAAACCTATTTAAACAAGATGTTCTAAATGTCCTTTTTGTTAGGAATGTGACTTTGGCATTAAAAAGAGGATGAATTGAGTATTATAAAGCCCTCTTTTTGCTTTTAAATTAACATTTCATATAATCTTTGACATGTAAAAGTTATTAATACATTCAAGCAATCCATAATATACAATCTGCCACAAAAATCATATAATCTACAGTAGTACATATTAGATATTAAAAAAGAAATTAAAGTGCCGAATATAAAAGAGTTAAGGGATAAAAGATTGCAAACTAAGATTTATCCTGGTTCAGTCACCACCACTTGTAACCTATATTCAGATTGCAAACTTTTCAACAATTCTTCCATTATAGGCCAAGCTTCACGGGTGTTTGACAAACTTCTATAACCTCCAAGTTTCTGGGTGCTTAGAAATCTTACAATTTATTAAACTTCACAGGTGCAAAGACTTTATAATCTTTAAGTTTCTCAGGTGCTTAAAAACCTTACAATATGATTTTTATAATAGAAGAATGAAGATAAAATGATAACTCTCTCAAAGAGCAAGTATACAAGTCAACACTCTAAGTGAGTATGATAAATTTGCAAGAATGAGCTCAAGATTGATGGATTTGTGTATATGACCTCAATGAATGTTCGTTAAACTTTTTTTACTCTCAAAATACTCTCTTAAAATCTGTACCAATGATGTCCCATATGTTTAAGAACCGTTGAAGTGTATATTCAGTGATTTTATTAAAAATTTGTTGTTTATAGCCCTTATATGTGATCTAGATGCAAGGTATTCAAATATTTGCTCTCCTCCAGAAAAGTATTCAAATACTTCATGGAGTATTCAAAAACTTTCTTGACAACAAGTGAAAAATGGCTAGAAATGTATTTTTTACACTTCTTTTCACTTTCAAATGCTTCCTAATATTATAGGAGTATATAATTTGGCTCTTGGAAAGATGTTTATAAGGGTATGACATGTTCAAAACATGCTAAAAGCATGTTAAATTCATTTTTGTAATCTCCTTAACTTTAATGTATGAATTTCATAAATGTAAACAAATTTGATTTACAAAACCATTTCATGCACATTCTTGGCTCTTGTAAAATGAATTCTCACATTTAACACTTGTTGTATATTTTCTTTTGTTAGAAAAGCATGTCAAGATGATTTGTATAAGAGTTGTGCGATTTTGAGGGATTATGCAATGTTGAAATCATGCAATATAATTTAATATATAACCTTATAGTTAAATTTAAGTCCTAAAAGTATAATTTAATAAGAACATGGACTTAGCTTATTGCGTTGATTCTTGGATTTTGATCTTCACTTGAACTTGATGCTTGATTTGTTGGTTTTGCAATACTTTAATGCTTTATTGGATTTGGTCATTTTTAATCATGACTTGTGTGATAAAGCTTTTCTTTAAGGTTGTCTATGGTTTGTACCTTTGAATTTGGTTTTGCTCCTCTCGTATTCTTCGGTTCTTCCTTGTTGCTCTCGATCCATTGCTAGCTTTCTTCCTAGCTTATCTATGTTATTGTCACTTTAATATCCCATTCCCCTTCTTGTGTGGCTCCATAATTTATTTTCAATTTCCACACATGGTTGTGCTTTTTGCTCTTGATAAATGCTTTTTCTTTTTTGGTTACAATGGTGGCACTTAGGTTCAAACCCATGGTCTCTTGAAAACTACCTAAACTCCTCACGAATAGACTTTCTAGTGGCTTTGCTTTTTTCCTTTTGTTATTATCAAAACATACCTTGTATCCACACTTTTGCTAAGAGATATAATAATAAAACCATTTATATGCCTTTATTTAATAGCTTAAACTTTTGGGGGAGATGATTTCATAACATGGTATTAGAGCCTTTGATTGAGTGATCTAGAATTCGATCTTTGTTGTCTCACTCTTTTAGTGTAAAAAATGAAAGTTGAATTTAAGCATAAGGTAATAAAAAAAATAGGCCTTTGGAATATCCTCGCTTAAAATCCTAAAGGGATTTTCAGGCGAAACGAAATGGTAAGAGATATGACAAAACTATTCATGTACCTTTATCCAAGTGACACCTTTAATCTAATGTTGTTTTCCTAAAAAGGGTTTTTCTTTTTTTAAATAACAATGAAAAGTAAGGGATGCGCTTACCTCAACGTTACTATCTTTTTAAGTGTCAGCTTTTATTTCTTTTTGGATCTGAATTCCTATACTGTTTATGCTTCTAATCAGGTTAGAAATGAAGCTGCCGAAAATTTCCTCTCACTATTGAAGGAGTGGGAGAAGCTATGTAGTTACTTCTCTTTAGTCCAAAACAAGGTGCCACATAATTATTATATGGATCTTTTTACTTCGGATGAGGATGATGATGCCGGCAGTGAAGAGAATGTGGAAGAGGATGAAGAAGTGTTTGAGGTGTCAGAAGTCCTTGCTGTACGTTATGGTGATCCGAAACGGGAAAAAGAGCAAGGGTTATACTTTAAGGTTGTTATTGTTTTGCTTCTGGCTTCTTTCTTATCCAGCTACTAGCCTACTACAGTAACTAATAATTTCCCTAACTTATTATTATTATTATTTTTGTCTGGCTAGTATTATTTTCAATATTTTTGCTTTGTTTATGTCTATGTAGGTTAGTTGGAAGGGTCATGGATCTGATGAAGACTCTTGGGAACCAATTGAAGGTCTAAGGTAAGCTACAATATTTCCAAACTGTCCATCTGCCTTATACAACTTATTCTTGCAAACTCTTGGAAGGGAGAATTTAGTTTAATTACATAGCAAAAATAACAAGCAGGGGTTTTAATTTAATTAGGTAAAATGTTATATTTTGATGTAAATGATAGTTAACGTATTATGGATTTGATATTTTTTGATATTCGACATGGCATCCACATTTTATTTCAATTTTTCATCTTTGTTGTGTTCTCTTCCATATTGGTGTAGTTGAATTTTTTTCTCTACATTTTTTTTTTGGAATTAGCTGGGGATTTTAAATTTTGGGACTCATTTATTATTTTGGCTGATTTTAGTAGTTCTATCCTATTGAAATTCCTACATACAATGAGCTGTTGTGTCGTTAATCAGTTGAGTTGAAACTTTGCTGATATAAATATTGTCTCTGCAACAGTAATTGCAAGGAAAGGATAAAGGAATTTGTTTCTCGAGGCTTCAAGTCAAACATCCTACCTTTGCCTGTAAGTTCTGGTTGATTTTGATAAAGTATGTCCTTAGAAGTCATGTTCATGCTACATAAGTTTCAAGCTTTTCCCTATCGATAGGGAGATGATGATTTTGATAAATGAATCTAACTACTTAATTGTGCTATGTATTTAACTTTTCAAATTTGTCGTTCCTGTTGTTGTGTAGGGAGGTGTTGATGTAATATGTGGTGGACCACCTTGTCAAGGCATTAGTGGTTTCAACCGGTTTCGGAACAAAGAGAACCCCTTGGATGATGAGAAGAACAAACAACTAGTTGTTTTTATGGATATTGTTCAGTACCTTCATCCCAAATTTGCATTGATGGAAAATGTGGTTGATATTGTAAAATTTGCTAATGGCTTTCTTGGGAGATATGCATTGGGCCGCCTCCTTCAAATGAATTATCAAACTCGTATGGGAATTATGGCTGCCGGATCTTTCGGGCTTCCTCAATTTCGCTTGCGGGTCTTCATATGGGGGGCGGCACCTTCTGAGGTACATTTATATTTATTCTTATTACGTTTTTGTTTTTATCTATTTTTGTATTAAATTGTATTTCTTTATGTGGTGCAGAAGCTGCCTCAGTTCCCACTTCCAACTCATGAGGTTATTGTAAGGGGTGTTATTCCATTGGAATTTGAGGTATGTGTAAATTTGATAAATTACCTATCATCATATTTCGAATTAGTTGTAATTTTGATGCATAGTAGTTCGAAGCACAACATTTTGCATTTGTGTGAGGTGGCATAATCTTAATGTAGGTGTATGAAAAAAAAAGTGTGGTCAACTTAACTGTAATCAAATGTTGAAAATTGTGTGTAGATGTGGAATGGTGCGTGTGAGTAACTTTATTCTTTCAATTGTTAAGAGTGAGATATTTAATAGAGGGCATGTGGATATTCATTGTGATTTGTGAACAAGTGGGGCCCAATGTTTTTTGATATCTTCATTTTCATTCTACTTCATTGTTTGTATTTTATCGTTCTTATCTAAGATTTTATAAGTATATAAGATTGTTCGTTTTCTTAGTAAAAATGGTATACTAGTTAAGGTCTTAAATTATGGATCACATCATATGATGCAGTCTTAACATCCCAGTTGCGGTGGCTGTCACAATCGCATTATGCCTTCATTGCCATCAGCTGCCATCTGCATGCAACAATGGCAATGCAACCATGATCGCAGCCTTAATTTTGGGGCACAAAAAAAAAATAGTTATTGGAAGTTGTATGCTTACTTTCAAATATAATGGTGAAATACAACCTTAAAACAGTTCATGCATTTTTTTAAGAAACTTAGTGATGAGGACAAAAGTTATATGATTTCAATGTCATTGGCTATTAAAAGCCTAATTTTGATGCTTAAGTCCACGAATTAAATGTGCGAGTTAACACTCATTTTTTAAGAGTATGACATGTTTTTTTTTTTCTAGTTCTTTAAAACCCTACCGGAAGGAATGATGAGTATAAGAACACATTATTTGTCAACTATAATATTTGTTTGTCTACAATGGTTACAGATAAACACAGTTGCATATGATGAAGGACATGATGTTAAGCTGCAAAAAAAGCTTTTACTGGAAGATGCTATTTCTGACCTTCCTCCGGTATATTTTATTATTGTTGTTACTGCCTTTTCTTTATCTCCTCGCTCCCCCCTGCTATGTTTGTTTGGTGTTAGTTTATTTATTGATGATTGTTATTTTAACAAATGTGTTTAGGTTGAGAATAATGAAGGTCGAGATGAGATAAAATATGACAAACCTGCCCAGACTGAGTTCCAGCAATTTATTAGATTAAGCAAAAGTGGTAATGCATTATTAAATGCTTATGTTTTTGTGTTATAAGATCATTCATATACCTTCACTTTTATGGTTCATGCTTTTAGAAGAGTTAGTTCTGAACATATGGTATAAGGATCATTTGGGTTGAATAGTCAAGAATTTGATGATTGTTGTCTATATTCTTCTAATAGAAGTTAAATTTTAGCATAAGTTTGAATAGGCTTATGCATTGTACATTACATGCTTCAGTTCTCAAGGTGTCTTGCTTGAGGGGATGAGTTTGGACAGTAAATACTTAAACTTGTATAGAAGTATTGTTCTCTTCTATTTCAATCATTTGCAGCACGCACATAAATGCAAAATATGATGATTCTGACACTATCTGTTAGCTTTTCATGTAGATATATGTTACAAACTATGAGATTAGTAATATATTTAAGGAATGTGCAGAAATGTTGGGTTTATCAACTAGAACAACATCATCAAAGTCTCTGCTTCATGATCATCGTCCACTAGAATTAAATGCGGATGATTTTCAACGTGTGTGTCAGATCCCAAAAAAGAAGGTTTTTGTTCATCATCATTCAGCATTTAATTGCCGCAGAACAGTGCTATTATGTGATGTTTCTATGTTTAATTTGTTATTGACGATTATTTATTGCAACCAGGGTGGATGCTTCAGAGATTTACCAGGTGTTCTTGTGCGACCTGATAACAAGGTTGAATGGGATCCTGAGGTGAAACGTGTATATTTGGATTCAGGAAAACCATTGGTAATAAGGCTTTTAACTTTTATATATATATATATATATATATATAGGGAAAATACTTTCTCCTTTAATAGGAGAATTGTTTTCTCATGTTAGTGAGAGATCGTTTTGCGTGCAATATTTTTTTCATTTTTTATTTTTTGTTTATAGTGGGACCCATTTGAATTATATATGTGTAGGAATTTTTTTAACCTCATGTTAAATGAAAAATGCAAAGCCCGTATATATATATATATCTCCTTCAGGCATCCCTTTTTTTTAACTATATTTTAAGAGCTCGAAGAGCATATATGTATTTGACTAGAAAGAGGAAATGCGTACCGATACATGGGTTGTCAAAATGTGAAATGGATTTGAAAATAACCGTCTACACTCGCTATTGACTACCATCTTGTCAATGCATATTCATGAATTTGTTAGAATTTCCTTCACAAATCGGCATTTTTCATATTTTGAATTCTTATACACATTTCTTTATGTTGCTTCAAATCTTATCACAGGTTCCGGATTATGCCATGTCTTTTACGAATGGAACATCGTCGAAGTAAGTTTTTCGTATAATAATTTGGGTTCAAAGTACTAATGCTCTAGCTGAATGCCTATATAGTACTATTTAGCAGATAATTTTCTCTAGAAATGCTTTATGCCTATATTTTTTTTTAGACCTTTTGCTCGGTTATGGTGGGATGAAACCGTTCCAACCGTTGTGACAAGAGCAGAACCTCATAATCAGGTATGTTATTTTCTATTGAAATTTATTTTCGTGGATGAACATATTTTATCAATATTGTTATGTAGAAATTAATTATATCAATTTAATTTGACAAACATCAAGTTTCAGACAATCTCATCTCCATGTATTTTACTATGATTCTGTTAGCGAAACTGGGCCTTTTAAGTGAAATGGTGTTATTACAAGTATTACTCATTAACAGAGTTATATTAACATCAACAATACTTATTATTTCAAAGTTCAAACTAGTTGGGGTTGGTTCATTAATAGAGATATATCTACCAAAAAAAAGTTATATTAAAATAGGTAGAGGGATGCAAATATTAGGGTATGATTTTTAAATTTTTAGTTATGTGCTTTATTAATAATTACAAAATGATCATTTTGTTTTCACTTTTTTTTTGTAAGTTTTTTTTTTTCTTATCATGAGGTTGCACTTTATAATGAACATTTTATGTAGCATGCCAAATTTGTATGTTTTATTAGGCAATTTTGCATCCGGAGCAAGACAGAGTGTTGTCAATTCGTGAAAATGCAAGACTTCAAGGTTTTCCAGATTTTTATAAGCTGCTTGGACCTGTCAAAGAAAGGTAACTCCAATGTTCTTATTTTTGCTCTTACGGTTTATGTTCACGTTAGGAGGTGGAAAATCCAGTCACTTCTGTTAAGAAGTCGTGAGGGGCTTGTATATCTTAAAATTTATTGTTGTGTTGTGAAAAAATTTGAGTGAGCAGCCACTGTTAAACATCTGTTTTGTCGTTTTTTTGGTATGAACTTTTTAGTCCGAAATTGATGTTTCAGGTACATTCAAGTTGGGAATGCAGTTGCAGTTCCAGTAGCTCGAGCTTTAGGGTACTCACTAGGCCTTGCGTTTCAAGGTTCTGCAGGTGATGGGCCATTATATAAATTACCTGATAAATTTCCCATGATTAGGGAACGGGTTTCTTCCGTATCATCCGAAGATGCTGTGTAATGTAACTTAAAGTGTAATGTAACTTAAGTTTACTTGTATTTGTACAATTATAATTCATTACCCGCCAAAGCAAGAATTGTATGATCAGGATTGTAGTTCCAATTCTTCATCTTCTTGCTTGGTTAGGGATGGGCATGTGTTTGTCTGTGTCCTGTTGTATTATCATATTTTCCTCCAGCTACAATGCTGAAAACTTAAATGATTAGTTTTGCTTCATCGTAAGGGCAAGCAATAAGGTTTTGCTTTTTGCTATGCTATGAAATAAGAGAATCACCGAGAAAATTGTGGTAACTAGAAGTGGAATAACGATCTAGAGGATCTCCAACCTAGTAGGCATTGGAATAGCTTACACAACATTGGTTTAGTTGATATAAGTGTAGACGATGGAAAGAGTATACCTTTAATATTTTTTATATAATGGATGATGCGAAGATCAATAGCCTAAGGGGTGGAGTGAGGGATACAATAAACTTAACAAAGGGTCTATTGGATGTCTAGGATGTAAGATTTCTCATGTCACCATTTTATAATCATGTATTTTGACGTGTATATAGTTATAATATTAAAATAATATTTTTTCTTTTTCCATATTAGTTGACAAATTTTGAAAAGTGTCTGAAGAGAGAATTTTTTTTTTAATATTATAATTGTGTGCTTTTTGAAATACATAGTTATAAGCGGGTGTTATAACAGACTTATATCCCAAAAGATTATACTTACATTTCCTCTTAATAAATTAGCAACATAAGAGATTTTAGAATTATTGGAAGATAATTTACACTCCCAATCAATTGGGGATTGTAAAGCAAGGTTTGCCGCTCAGAGAATTAAAATGAGCAGTAGTTTCAAGAGGACCGGGCCTAGCTCTAATGTTGGAGTGCAGCCCATGAAATTAGATTAGAAGCATGCCTAAAATAAGAATAAGCCATTAAGAATGTAAATCGTTTATTATTCTTATTCTGTTTACAAAATCATTGCAGATATTTATAGTCCAAAGATTATACAATATTAATTCCAGAAAATAAAAAATGAGAAAAATAATCAATTACGATAATCCTAATTACACTAACTATACACATTAACAATATAGTAATTACGTTAAATATGATATCTGTGCTAATAAATAGAAATCCATTTGAATGTGGTCATAAACCATAATCCTCTTGCTTGTTCAGTAGTAAATTTTCCTCACAGCTTGTACCCATTATGTGTATTTTATTCTAATGTAGTAGATGCATAAATGAAGTCAGGAAAAGGCTGGTAGGCTGGAATTTATTCCCCATGCACGTTACGAAATACAAATCACGAAATAAAAATCTTGGCTATAAATGCAATAGCCCACATTGTTAGTGGAAGAATCCTATTAGAACATTGAAAGCAATAGCTGGCAATAGCATGTGAATAAGGTGGGGCAGTTCCAAATGGATGCCAAATTGTAGGTTTTAATAGTGATCCATATCCAACTTGTCTTGAAGTTTTCTTGGACAAATATAGCGTTTTAGTGTTGCTTGCTGCTTCTGTGGTTCCACCGAGGTAAAGGTCAAACTTCAACTTTGATCGGAGAATATTTTCAGAGGACTGTGCAGTACATATTTTATTCACCTAAAATATAAATACATCGAGTCTATTAACTGCAATTATGAAGAAATTATTAAGTGAATGGGTGCAAATGCGGTTTTGTATGTGAGTGTTAGGTGGATATAGTCTGTTATTATAAAAATCCTGAAAATATTTGCATCCCAATAAATGTAATTTTTGCAAGTACCAGTGTTTCGTCTACCCATAAGGGCATGTTTTAAGATATTAATTTTAAAGAAATAAATTTTATTTTTAAAGATCTTATACAGTGTTATAAATATGTTTAAAATAACGTAATCCAAACACATTAAGCATAATATCTATACACGACTTTGTTTTCTTTTAAATAAAAATAAAATAAAATAAGTAGAAATAATTTTTGTTTGAAAGTATTCATATAAGGGATTAATGTTTCTCATGTTAAAGGAAATAATTTTATCTCCTATACATATAAAAATATGTGAGGTCCATCTTTTTTTTTTTTTCTTCTCTTCACATGATCTCACATAAGCCCAACATAATTCTATGAGTACGTAGGAGATAATTTTATCTCCTCAATAAAAACACATTTTTTAACGCCCTATTTATTATTTTGTGAAATCTTATGTTGACCTTAGTAAATAACCCAGACTTATTATGTTGTATTGAAAATTTTAAGGAATCAAAGTTATTTTCATTGTTAGATTTTATATATATACTTATAAATACAAGATTGATAAATAATTAAGCAACTACTCGATAAGAATAGAAACATAAGCTATTCACGTAATTCAAATATTATCTTATCATTATCTTTAATTCTTATTTCTAATACTCTCGCTCAAGTTGGAGTATGGAAGTATCGAACGACTCGCAAACTAGAAAGATAAAAAAAAAATTCTTGCCCAACTTTCTACTAAAAAAATCCCACCAAACATTGTTAAAAAGACGACTTAGGGATGTTAGAGATGTCAAAGAGAAAAACTTTGTTGCAAAATTAACTTAGCAAAATAGTTGGAATGACAATCAGTTTGAAGAGTTGGTTGCAATACTAATTGACCAAATAAAAACACTATGCTGGAATAACATTAGCATAAATGTCCTTTGTCGGAATAACCATTAGCGGGAATATTCTTCGTTGGAACAACCATCAATGGGAATGTTTGGCAAGCAAATCTACGCAACAAAAACTAAAATTTCTTTTCCAAATTCACCACCAACAACTTTTAGAAGCTTATATAATAGGCAACTACTGAGCTCCAAACTTTATGGAACTCCGCAGCAAAAAGGTCACGAAGGATGAAACCTCTTTGATATCATATTGAAATTCTATAAAATCAAAGTTATTTTTATTATTAGAGAGAAGTCTATATATAAATGTACAAATACAAGATTGATAAATAACTAAGTAACTTACAGATAATATGGGTGACAATTCAGGTTGACACGACATGACACGATAAGAATTCGACTTGAACACGAATACAACATAAATTTGAAATCGGGTTAAAACCTTCAGCACTAACACGACTTATTTATTTTTGGGTTGACACTTCATTACACTAATAACCCGCAAACTCATATGGTATCACTTATTATGCCAGTTGCGTAACATCCTGGGCGCTGACACAGGGAGTGATCGCCGGTGTAAAAGGGCACAGACAACGAGCGGCTCTTGGCAGGCTTCTAGTGAGAGGGGTACATAAATGAAACGAATCAACACCCGAAAAAGAGGGATCCAGAGACTGTGCAGGTATGTGACTGTACAATTGAGGATGTATTAAATTATAGTCTTGAATAACATTGTATTTCTGTATATGCTTTAAAACCAAATATCTCTTAAATAGACATGGTTTGTTACATATGACTAGACTCAATTGCATCAGTTTGTTATGTACACAACTGATGCCTAAACAATAGGTAACAATGAGACTAAAGCTAACAGATAATAACTACAGCTAACAAATAAATAATAACAGATACAATATCTACAGATCATAACAATAGCAATAGCTCCTTTCCAACACTCCCCCTCAAGTTGTAGCATGAAGACATGAAATGCCCAACTTGGGAAGGAAGGCTAGAAAAGAAGCTCGACCAAGGGCTTTGGTGAAGATGTCTGCGAATTGTAAGTGGGAACGAACATATGTTGTCTGAATATGTTTGGCTAGAAGCTGCTCCCTAACAAAGTGACAATCGATTTCGATGTGCTTGGTGCATTCGTGGAAGACGGGGTTTGCAGCGATGTGCATGGTCGCTTGATTGTCACAACACAACTCCATGGGGTCCTCATGAAAGACTTGTAGAGAAGCAAGGAATGATTTTAGCCAAGTTAATTCGATAGTTGCCGCGGCCATCGAACGATATTCAGCCTCTGCGGAGGAACGAGATACGGTAAGTTACTTCTTGGTCTTCCAGGATATGGGCGAGTTTCCTAGCATGATGAAGAAGCCAGAGAAAGACCGCCGAGTGATAGGGCAGCTGGCCTAGTCTGAATCACAAAAGGCATGAATTTTAAGGTCACTCGTGGATGAGAGAAAGATGCCTTGACCTGGACTCATTTTAATATAACGAATAACTCATAGGGCCGCTTCATAGTGTGCTTCTTTTGGAGATTGCATGAATTGAGACAAGATGTGCACCACATAGCTCAAATCTGGATGAGTTATAGTAAGATAGACCAGCTTACCAGGATACGCCTATAACGACTTGGATCACCATACTCCGGGCTGTCATCTAAGGCCAAGCGATGGTTTTGTTGAATGGGAAAAGAAGCTGGTTTACAATCCAACAAACCAGTTTCCTTGAGGATATCTAATGCATATTTTCATTGGCACAAGAAAGTTCCTTCTTTGTTCCTTGAAATTTCCAACCACAAAAAATACTTCAAGGGACCCAAATCCTTAATTTTAAAACACTTATGAAGATAAACCTTCACCTCTTGGCAGATTTGAGGATCATTACTTGCTATGATGAAGTCATCAACATAGATTAAGATAGCTAAAAACATAGAACCACGCTGCAAAGTAAACAATGTGTGGTCTGCCTGGGATTGAACGAAGCCAAACTGAATAGAGAGGTGTTTAACTTTGCAAACCAATTCCTGGGAGATTGTCGCAGTCCATACAGTGACTTTTGGAGACGACATACCTTACGGTCTTGTCCTTGATTGAAACCTGGTGGTATACGCATGTATATTTCCTCTTCAAGGTCCCCATTAAGAAATTCATTGTGAACATCCATTTGATGAAGTGACCATCCTTTCGCAGCTGCTACTGCCAGAAGGGTTCTAACACTGACCATCTTTGCTATAGGTGCGTAAGTTTCATGGAAGTCTTCTCCAGGAACTTGGTGATTGCCCGCGATCACCAACCTGACCTTGTATCGCTCAATGCACCCGTTGGAGAGATACTTGATTTTATATACCCATTTGCATGGTAGTGCATGCTTCCCTGCGAGCAAATCAGTGAGATGCCAAGTCTGATTATCTTCAAGTGCTTGTATTTCCTATGCCATGGCTTCACGCCATTCCTTTCTTGCTACGGCTTCCGTGAATGAGTGTGGTTCACTCCCTGCATCAATAGCTGCAACAAATACTTGATAGTTTTGAGAAAACTGATTAGAGGTTTCATAATTTGCAATCGGATATCGCTTACCTGAGGAGGAGTCAGACAGAATGATATGAGGGACATGCATATGTGTTTCAGCTAAGTTGCATTTGTAACCACTCAAATAAAGCCATTTGAGGTCAGACTTCCTCAATAAAGCCAAATTTCCAAATTCACATTTTTATTTATTGTGTTCGTAACAATTGGTATCAAAGCTTAGGCATGGACAAATGCGTTCAGAAATTGGAAGACACAGTCAAGTCTTTGTCGGAGCAATTCAAAGAGATGTTCTCCCAATTCTCCAACCAGTTGGACATTTTGGTGGCTAACAGGCCCAACACCCTCTCATCTACTATTGGGCTGGCAAAACTATACGACACCCGCGATCAGAAGATCGTCTTTTCTGCTCAGAATGTGCGACAGACCATAACAGTCAGCAACACCAAGGGTTCACCTTTATCCACTCCCACCAGTGGTGCTGCATCTTTCGGTAGTGGCGCCTCCTCCACCGGTTTGACTCTTGTTCGCTATAATGACGCATTCACTCCAGGCCATCACTGCAAACAATTGTTTACCATCCAAGCAGTGACACAAGAGAGTGACGATGAGGCGGTGATGGAAGAAAGTGAAGGAGAAGCGAATATTAAAGATGATTCAATTACTCGACGTTGAATTTACTCTTGAGGACGAGTTATTTTTAGGGGAAGGAAATGTTACAGTTTTTTTATTTTTATTTTTTTATTTTTTGAATTGTTGGGTTGTTTAAGTAGTGGGTAGTTATTTCTATTTCAACTTTCCTAAATGATAGGTTATAGTTATTAGTGGAGTCTATCTAGTGTTAATGAGGTAGTTATTTCTAAGGTAGTTGTATTATCTATTTAAACCTTGAAGTATTTGAATAAAGGAAATCAAAAGAATTATTTGGAAAAAACCACTTTGTGCAAGAGGTTAGGCTTTCTCAGTAAAGCCATCTGAGGTCAGGTTTCTTCAATAAAGTCAAATTTCTATTTTTATTAATTGTGTTCGTAACAATTTATCTGTCACACTCACGTAAAAGTGAGTGGACCCCAAAAATTTCTTCTCTATTTTCTCTTCACAATAGGACTTACTTTTACATGAGTGTGACAGAGAAATATTTTCTACATCAAAAACAAAAATATTTTTCCCTTTGAAAAACAACCTAAACACAAGAATGACACAAACAAAATGGCATCCCTTTTATAGTAATAATCTGTGATTTTACAAATGATATTAATATTGATTATTATTTCTCTTTTCTAAAGAATAATGCTAGATATAGCGAAATCATTTTTACAAACTCTCGTACGAATAAGGTGCCAACAATGAAGTACCCACTTCTTCTATCAAGCGTTTGTAAAACCGAATAAACATCAGGAAATAAACAAAGAGTTTTATTAGTCTCCTTGTACAGTTATCTTATGTTATAGAGAGAAAATAGGTGGGTCTCACCATTAGAAGAAAAAAAAAGAAAAAAAAAAATGAGGTGCGAAAATCAAAGTGAGAGAACATGAGAGAAGTTATCTTACGTGAAATGAAAGTAATATTTTCCATAAACAAAACATCTCTTTTATACTGTTTGTGTGCGTTTTTACAAATGGTATTCGTAAAACTTAGTATTTCCATTTACGAATCCCCTCACGTATTACTGTAGGCAACTTTTTCATTTCGTAGTTACAATATATAGATTTAATTTTAAATAAAATTTGTTCGATCTAAGGGTATGGATCGAAGATTATTGTAGGGTCTGGATTATTTTTAAATTTAATTTTGTTGTATATTTGTAGAGCGATCAAGAAGATTTTGGTGGATAGGATAAAGCCTGGAGTGAGTAGGATGGGCCTTGATCGTTGGGCTAGATTTGGGGCCTAATAAGAGGATCCAAAACAAAATTAATTTTAAGTTAAAAAATAAATTGATTTATATTAAGAAATCTTTATTGGATTTGACGTAATTAACTTTGTTTGGATAATGTTAATAAAGATCACTATATATATATATATATATATATATATATATATATATATATATATATATAATTGTCAAAAAGATACGGCTCTTTATTTAAATAATATAATAATAATAATAATATAAAAATAAAAAGTTATTTAAATCAAAATATACACAAATAAAAATTTACTTACAGTGAAAATAACAAAATATTATTCACGACAAAACTGGTAAACCAACAAATTTTGAATTGCCATATATCAAACCATAGCACAAGTAAACAAGCATCACTATTCACTGGCAATTCATCTCAAATCAATGGTATGTCATTATCATGCATGTTTTGTTGTTTGAAGCGTTTCACTCGCTCGAGTCATCCTTGTTTGAATTATAATCTTACGTATCTAATGAGTCCAAGGTTCCCACATGCAAGGGTATACCTAAATTTGATCATTTATATATGTAAAGAATTAATTCAACTCAATAATTAAAGCTATTACATGATAAATTATATTTATCTAACATGCTCACTTGAAGAGTAAACAATGCATTAGACCTTGCCTATTTGTGTTAAAAAATTTCATAATATTTAATTATTATTATTTTCTAATAAAATATAGGCAATGAACATCGAATTCGTTACCACTTAATCATATATACTATATAAAGAATCAAATTTAATCTAAAAATTAATTTAAATTGTTAGGCGAGACTACCATAATGATTTTCATATTATATTTTTCTAATAATTTATGTGTACATTCTTAATGCATAAATAAAGACTTATATATCACAATGCTTAACTACTTATAACGCATCTTAGAATGTAGTCAAACTCTAAAGCAGTTACAACCCTTTGGAATCACTGTTTAACTATCTTTAGGTTGATTCTCTTTCTGCGTTAACTTTCCCTTCTCTTCTATCTACTTTTCATTCATTTATATTAAGAAAATAAACTTTAATATTATAAGCTATTTGTGCGTTTGATACGAAATACTATCTGCAATCGCTAACACGAGCATCTTCTCTTTGTTTTTGAGGCATATTCCGGGTTACAGACAGGGGTTGGAAATGAAAACTTTGATTGATTCTTAGTGCATAATTTTTTGGATAGGCATTATGCTCCATGTGAATTGAATTCTTTCTAGTTAAAGAATGTTAGGTTTTGTTTTCCTAGTGTTTGATGTAGACAAGGACAGATTCACAAAATAATAAGGGTCAGTACAATTTTTTTTAAATTTTTTCACCCATTCATTAATTAATCCGATTGAGTTGAGTGAAATCACATGAATCAAAAAGTTCTTATATTGGGTTATGCCTGATCACACACGGTTGAAGGCAAATGATGTTAACGAAAATAAAAAATGTTGACGGGCAAGCTTGCTGAGATGTTAGGCTGATTGGAGAGATGGTTGATCTGGGTTGTCTGGGATCTGAGCAGTTTGAGGAGATTTTGGAGGGTGTACTTGCAAGGCACTCCAACGATCAAATCAACTCAATATTGCAATGTCGTTTAAGTATTCAAGGATATATGTTCTTATTCATTTCTATTGGTGGAGAGTTGTGATCTTTCGTAAGCTATTCCTTGGGCAAGAAGCCTGTTGGTCAGGTTAGTCCTAATAGATGTAGTGGCGAGTTGGTATTGTCATTCATTCATTGGGTTCATGTGGAAGTCAAGTTGCCCTGAGCTGCTGATCTCGATAATGACTAATGATGTTTTCTTGCTTACCAAGTTACTTTTGGCTTGTCAGCCAAATAGGCGAGATGCCTACGGTTCACACGCGAGATGGATTTGGTTCCTTTAGGTTAAGTTCGTGGTTCTTGGACCCCTCATCATATAATTATTATCAACTAACTGTTGATAATAATAAGAGTTTGTTGAATAATTAAACATAATGAGATACATCATTAATTTTTTGAAAAAAAAGTATCTAATATTACTTTAGATAATTTTATCTAATGTTCACCGAAACGACATCGTTTTGAGGTTGAAAATAAAAAATTAGAATGATAAAAACTATTAAAACCCTAAAATAAATTAAAATTATAAATACACCATAATTTCAGCCTCAAAACAGCGTCGTTTCGGTGAACATTAGACAAATATGTCTAGAGGAACTTAAAAAAAAAACGAAACCTTAATTATTATCAACTTTAATTGAACATCACAAACTTCCCATATAAATAAATGGTTGTGGTAAATTAGATGGCATGATTCATCCAATTAATTTTTCATTATACGTAACATAATAATGAGAAAAAGAAACTTAAATAACAAAGGTACATGCATGTAAAGCAATAAAAGAAGGCCATGTGTTGTGTAATGTGCAATATCAGACGCGAAGTAAAAGAATTTAAAAAAGGCTGTAATATAAAAGGGACAGAAATATGCATGTGACACGGTTCACGAAGCCATTGTTATTATTGGTGTCTCTGTGTTGTGTTGTGTCCCTTAAGAACTATATATAACTACCAATCCAACGGTCACTCCCCCTCTTCTCTATTTTAAGCTTGTGTTTTTTAACACACACACACAAGAAAGAGTGGTTGTGTTGTTTTGAGTTATGTTGTGCGGTGAAAATGACATAGAAATAAGCTCAATCAATCAAAAAATGAAACATACCCTTACCCTCTTGTGTTCAGTGTTGTAAGAATCAAAGAGTTTCAAAGAAGAAGAACATAAAAACAGGGTCGCAATAGCAATGCCTTCCATAGACTCTTTCGATTTCTTCATCATATCTCTCAGCAAAACGTTCTCCTCTCCTTTCGCCGTTTTCGTTCAGGCCCAGGTTTTTTCCATTTCTTTCCTTTTTCTGTGCTTTACATTCTGTTTTTCCATCCAATCATGATTATTTTCTGTATAACATGTTTCAATTTACAACCCCTTTTTGTAATTCCGTTAGGTTTTTTCAATAAAAATCAAATGTTATTTTGTTCCTTAAGCTTTTCAAGAAATTTTATTTGATATATCATTTCCTATGCTATGATGAGTTGTGTTATGTATGTATATGTATATATGTACCCTGTGTAGTATTCAGTCATAGCATGGTTGTGGAAAGGGCTTTCCCTAATGCTTTGTTTGGATCCTATTTTTTCAAGCTAAGAGATACTTTTAAGTTAAAGTTAAAAAAAGAGTTTTAAAAAAAAGCTAAAAGCTGTTTGTTGATTACGTGAAATTTTTAACTTAAAAGTTCAAAACTTGTTTCAAGAAAAGCTGATAAGAGCTTACAAAAAAAACTCCTCCTATGAGCTTTTGATTTTTTTTTCTTCATTATAAAAAAAAACTCTTTTCATTATAAGAACTTTTGTAAAAACGCGTTTGGCATAGCTTGCGTTTATAATAAGAAGGAAAAGTAAAAAAAAAACAGAATCCAAACAGGCACGTAGTTAATTTAGAATATCTTAGAGGATGATTCGGGGTGAAAAATGAAATGGTGAAATTGCATGCATAATGACTAAAAAGGAATATACGAAGGAGGTAATGCAATCCTAAGTATCTGAATACAGACTTTGTATATCACTAGTACCCTTAAGTATTTGTGACATAGCTCTTGCCTTTTGATTGCATCAACAACAACCTAGCTAGATAAAGAATCAATTTAACCCAAAAATTTGAGTTGTCATGTGAATGTCACACTTATAGTTTTATATATATATATTTCTCAAACACATATCCCTGAGTTACATAGACCATTAGACACCATTTAGAGCAAGGTATTTTTTGATGTTTTCTCCTAATGTTTTCTTTGATTTCCTCTTTATGCCTTGCCTTTTGATTGTACCATTGCATGACAATTATTTAATAATTTTCCTTGAAATATGGTATTATGATTTGTATTCCTTGCTTTTGTTTCTTATGAGAAAATCTACCATGATACTGTGTCATACAAACCTGAATTTTATGTTCAATATGCAGGGATGTCTAATTTGCTTACTCCTTGCTATTGGGTGGGCTTGTGCTGCTTGTGTCAGGTACTCATTGATGTTAAAAGAAGTTGGGAAACTCATTTATTATGTCGTTGATATGAGATTTACAGCACTTTTTTTGCCTTTACAGGAACAGAGAGATAAATCGAATAAAGAATAGTATGCGGAATGGCAATAGCTTTGCTTTCCTTTGTAAGGATATTAATGAACTTGAGCACTCCAATCAGGTCAACCTGCCAAGAGTAACAGTAATTATGCCCCTAAAAGGGTTTGGAGAACACAATCTCCATAATTGGAGGAGTCAGGTATGGAACACACAGAAGTATAACTTCTTTGATAATGCTATGGCCTTTTGACCGTATCAGTGCATTTTATGAAATATTCCACTAGTTTAGTTTTGTGATCAAATGTACTACCATAGTGACGCAGCAAGACGCGTAACCTGTGGCTGTGTTTAGTCACGTCATCACCAGATGCGTGTTTAGGACAATCTGAAAATGTATAATCACGTCAATACCAGGTGGGCGTTTAGTCATGTCTGTACTAGGTGCGCGTTTCTCGTGGCACAGACGTCATACGCGCACCTGCCTTGTGCCTGACTATACACATAGGCACTTGATGCGCGTCTTCGAAAAATAAACCGGCGGAATATTTCGAAAAATTCAAAAAGCCTAATGCTATTCATTCTGACATACTACTTTTGGGTTTTTCTGGGGTGTATTGTTTGTTTTTCATGAATGTTGCGCTATGACATGGAAATTTAACATTTTGCTAAATCTTAAATGTATTTATGTTTTTCATAATATGTTTTCTCTTGCATTTTCCTAAACTTCAAATTGAAATTGTACAGTTTCTTGCAATTTTGGTAAGTTATGATTTTTTCCTTTTCTGGTTACATTGGAGGTGATAGAGGAGGGGATAGGTGGCTTGGTATAGGATTGAACCTCCAACATCATCTCTTGTTGACATTATGAATTATTTTTTCTGTATGATAATTGGTCTTAAATTATAATATTTGAATTCTTCGGGAAAAATAAATAAATTGTAATGTTTGAATTTTCTTTCCAGATAATACCCCGAGTTTAGTATGTTTGTAATTGTTAATTGATGGAACCTAGAAAAATGACCACAAACCACTGACATATTTCTATAAATGCAATTGTTCGGAGGAGACAACCTCCCTTACAATACTGATAACAACAAGAAACAGAGCTACAACACTCTGAATATAGACTCAAAAACAAAAAAAAATACAAGACAGTAATTAAATGACAATGCAGAAATATAAACCACAAGTCTCAACTCACCTTCAAAGCCAAAGACCTAAGCCTCAAGAAATCCCAAGAGATTCTTTCCTAATTCCCGATTCCCATTTCAAGAATACATGCATAACAGAAACATCACCCTAAACTTCTATATATACTAATCCTAACTTAAGATACTAATGGGCTTGGATTATTTATTATAGGCCATCATTGTAGTATCATTTTGTTTTTTTGTTTATTTGTTTGATGTTCTCCTTTTTAAAGGAAACCTTTGTTTATTGTGATTCTATTCTTTTATAAATGCAGTTAACATCTCTCTATGGTGGCCCTCTAGAATTTCTTCTAGTGGTAGAAAGTACAGAGGATCCTGCTTACCATGAGGTATCAAGACTAATATCAGAATTTGAGGTAAAATTGAAACTCATTTTGAGGCTTGATTTGCATGACTCTACTGCACTTTTGGACTATTTCTGATATATTGATAATATAATGCTGTCTCTTACTTATTTAGATGCTTGTTTCTTGCATGCAGGATTCTGTTGATGCTAGGATTGTTGTAGCTGGTTTGTCAACAACTTGTAGTCAAAAAATTCACAATCAACTGGTATGGGTTTTTCTTACATATATTTTTCTCGTATTTTCAAATGTAAAGTAGGGCCATGCTATATTTGAAATTTAGTCTTTTCATCCTTACATTTAATTTGTAAAGAACCACTTCAACCTAAAACCTTAAGGTATTGGGTGAGGGCCTTTTTAATGATTTATATTATTCTTTTAACACATCTCCTCACGCAAGAGCCCTTTGAGCTTAGCGTGGATATTGCGTAGGCCCAATTTTTGTTTTGTTTTACCTTGTGCTTATTTAATTCCACTTGAAAGCGGGGGGCAGTGGAGATCGAATTTGTGACCTTATGGTCACTGAAGCTCTGATAACATGTAAAGAACCACTTCAACCCAAAACTTTAAGGGGTTGGGTGAGGGTCTTTTTAATGATTTATATTATTCTTTAACATAATTGAAGTCAATATAAATCGATGTTGAACAAGGAAATGCAGCTTGACTGTTTCATTGACTAGTTGTTGGAAATCATATCATCTATATAACACTTGCTAGGCAAATACATGGGTGATGGACCTGTATTTACTTACTGATATGGAATGTCAAGGCATTTCCATTCTTGTTGATTTGTTAGATTGTTCTTGCTTGATGCATTTTACCAACTACACCTAGTATTACATAGTATTGGCACCTTGGCAGGTTGGAGTGGAGTCAATGCACAAAGACAGCAAGTATGTATTGTTTTTGGATGATGATGTTAGCCTACATCCTGGATCAATTGGAGCCCTCACTCGTGAGATGGAAAAGAATCCTGAAGTATGCTTAAAAATTTTTGTTCCATGTGATTCTTTTTTAGGTGTTTAATTGAAATGTTTATATTTCCACTTGCCTAAAATTATTTGGTTATGCTATTAACTGTTTTGATGCTTAACAGATATTTATTCAAACTGGATACCCTCTTGATTTGCCATCTGGAAGTCTAGGGAGTTACTGCATCTATGAATACCATATGGTATACAACTACCTCTGGATTTATATCTCTAATCTCTGCAGAAAATATCTGTGTATAAGACTGTTTTCTTCTATTTTCATTTGTTTTGAACCTATTGGTAGCTGAATCACCATAAATGAAGCATAACTAATTGAGATTAAATTTTGACTTCGGTCTATGAACATTTTAGTAATGTGCATGATAGCTTTTACAGTTTTACTTAGGCTTTTGATATATATCAATATTTTAATTATACTTATTCAACTCATTTTTTTCCCCTCATTTTTTAATTTTGTTTAACAGCCTTGCTCAATGGGCTTTGCCACTGGTGGAAAAACATTCTTCTTGTGGGGAGGGTGCATGATGGCAAGTAGCTTCCACTTCCTTTTTTTGTTGGTGCATAAAAATACTTATATTCTAACTATTTTAGTTTTTCTCCAGATGCATGCTGAGGACTTTAGGCAAGATAATTCTGGTGTAGTTTCAGGACTTCGAGATGGTGGATATTCTGATGATATGACTCTTGCAGCCATAGCAGGTCTAGCTTTGATACCCTTATCAAACTTTTAAATTAAAAACACTTTGAGCAACATATTTAACAGCTTTATCAGCATCTTATTGAAAATGATGATTATTGATCCATATTCTAATAGTAAGATATTACTGTCTGAAGAGCATTTTTTATTTTTTATTTTGCATTTGTTTGATGCTTATTATTCATGCACATTTTGCAGAAAAGTAAAATTTTTCAGTGAACTAATTATTCAAGAAACTGGTCCATGTTTTGTTTTTGAAGTTCTACCTCTGGTGTTTGTGATCCTTTTTCAAATGGAAGTGCAACAAGCTTCCTGTAAATGCACTAGCATATAGACATACTTTTTTTGCTATATATATTTAATGTTTTTCCTGATCATTCATTCCTGTTTATAATGTTCTTCATCACCATAATACTGTCACTTTCAGGGGCTTACAAGAAGCTCATTTCTTCTCCTGCGGTTGCTGTCTTTCCTCATCCCCTTGCAACTGATCTTAATTTTGGAAGGTTTGTGATTATCACTCACTACCTGAAATTAAAGTTTCATTGTATATTCTCTTCTAATTATTTAACATGTGCAGGTACTGGAATTACTTGAGGAAACAAACATTTGTTTTGGAGTCTTATGTTACGAAAGTTAACCGAATAATGAACCGTGCATTATTTGCTGTTCACTGTTACTTGTCATGGGGATTTGTAGCACCATACTTTATGGCAATGGTTCATGTATTGGCAGCACTAAGATATCACGTTATGGGGTACTCGCTTGAAGAAATGAACAGCACTTCTGGTGGTGAGAACACTACTTTTCCTTTTTAGGTAGGTTGTTAGTGTAATATTGATTCATGTGTAAAACTATGGCAGGATTCTGACACTGAATGAGGGAACTTATAACTATAACGCAGGAATAGCACTTACTTTCAAGGAATTTATAACTATACTTATGTAGGCACTTCATAATAAGTTTATTTTTGTTATTACTTTCTTGCCTTCTCTCCCCTGTGGGGTATTAGATTTAGAGAAAAAAAGAGATATCAGGTATGGACTATGGTAGTTTTCTGTGATAACTGATGTGGTGTTGTGTATTATACTGTTATAATAATGCAAATAGATGGCATTTTAAAATCCAACATGAACATATTCTTCCGCATTGTTATAAGTTGTACTTTTAACTCATGAAATTTATGCATTCATGCTGAATAGACAAGGTTTGTTAAAAGAAAAAAGAAAAATGCAAGAAACGCATTTTTGAGATGAACTTTCCCTTTAAGCCCTACAGTTTGGCATTTTTCAGGGTTATCAATGGTGTGCTTCCTAGCCATATGCACTCTTATCGAGCTTCTTTCAATGTGGAACTTGACAAGGATTGAAGTTTTACTTTGCAATATTTTGTCCCCAGAGGCACCCCCACTTTCTCTTGCTACCTATAACTGGTGTCTTGTAAGTATTTCTCCAACTTTTTTTATCCAAAAAGGAAAGAAAAAAAAAATTGTTTCTCCAAGCTTGTTTTATGTGTGGATGGATTTGAGTGATGTTATCCAAGATGTCTTATACATTTCTACTATAGTAGAAAGGCCTTTTGATAAATATTTATCATCCTTAAACCCCTATTCTATAACAATTCAAAGGAAACAATGATGTAGTGCTTTATGAAGAATTAACATAGATAAGTACACGGGATACATGGCACAACAAAGATGGACAAAAACATGTTAATCTAAAAGATCAAGTAACCATGACAAGAGAAAGAAGATGCATGAATTTATGTACATGTGTTGGAAAAAAATATATTATAATATGTTAATGTATGGATTATTATGCTGCCAAGGGAATACTCCTGATTACTAGTTGGTAAGGCAAAAGTGATTTCTTATTTTGTTTCATTATTGAGCAGGTGTTCATTGCAATGCTGGTGGATAACTTTCTATACCCGCTTTCTGCAATTCGTTCTCATTTCTCTCAATCTATCAATTGGTCTGGTATTCGATACTATTTGAAAGATGGAAAAGTCAGCAAGGTAAGTTGGTCAAGATTTTATGTCAACTTCATTAAACATTATTTCTGGCTGTACCAATTTAAGCAAAAAGTTCTACTAGTCCAACCTTACCCTGCCACTACTGGCTATACTGATAAATGGGAAAAAGGATCATCCTTTTAGAGGATATAAACTTATGTCCTTTTAGCAATTTTTAATTATGCATTCTCAGGAATGCATAGTTATAAGGGACAGGATCCGTTTACAAACTTTTTTTGCAATTACACTAATGTAGGACCGGTCGTACACTGTGTGATTAATGTAGGACCGGTTCTACATAATGTAGTTTGTAAACAAAAAAGTTTGTAGATATAACCTGCCCCTAGTTATAATATCAAAGTTCTATTTTTTTCACTTTCTACGTTAGCAAACAACTTCTAAAGAAAAAGAGAAAAAGTACAACTGTAATATTATAAGTTATAACTATGCATTCTGAGGAATAGATAGTTAAAAGTGCTAAAAGGACATGAATTATATTCTTTAAAAGCTAAACTCCTGATAAATATGCATATACTATATCACTAAGGAAGGGAAGGTTGGAACTATGCACTTTTACAATTCATTTTTTCAGGCAATTTTTTTTCCTTATTTATTTATTTTTTCAGATAGAAAGAACTCCAAGAAGCAAGGATATGGGTCCAGTTTTCACAGACTTGGCAGGAAAGCATTTACATGGAAAGAAAGGGTTGCCTTCCAAAGGCTCATTCTCATTCCTCAGTTCTTTGTCCAGAAGTTTGCTACAATGGCGTCAACCCAAGAGATCTGATTAACTAGGAAAAAGCTTCATTCAGCATACAAAGTCTGCTTAACTTTTTGAATCACTTATGGGGGTAGCCTGTGACCCTTTGGAAGCAAGGGTGTTGGTTGATCAATTGGTCTTATTTTATTGATTGGTGACTCATTATTGATTGTTTAGTGTGGTATAATCCTTATTCCATTTTTATTTTTATTTTTATTAGCCATTCATGATTGATTGTTTAGTGTAATATAATCCTTGTTCCATTTGTTTTTAGCCATTGAATCCATAAGATTTTCAGCCCTAGCCCCTCCCCTTTGGGGACTTATTCTGTTTTTGTAAGTTGTAGCAATTCAATTCTGTAATTTATATGCAACAATCTAGAATTGCTAAATGTATATACAGTTAGCGATTCACATTCGTTTATGCAATTATATCTCTCCATCACACATAACATACTCTTAGCTTTTAATAAAACATATGCATTTTTCTTTTTGAAGTTACTTGTATAATCATAAGTTCACAATGAAGCACTTGCGAATGAGAATGATTAACAAGATTATAAAGGCCCTTTGGATGAGCATTTTTTAGTCAAAAGTTATTTCTTTTTTCAGGAAAATATATAATATAAAATCAATTTAAATATTTGTTTTAAAAAAAAACAGAAATCATAAAAGAAAACAAAAAATCTGTTTTTTTGAATACTAAAAATTTTAGCTTCTAAAAAAAAGTAAAGTTAAAAAGTTATTTTTTTAAAAAAAAACTAAATATATTTTTATATCTAAATGGTTTTAATTCTTTTAAAATAAACAAGGCATAAAAGTAATTTTTTTTATAAATCCATCTAAACGAGCCTTAAATCTTATTCTCTGCCATTAATTTTTATTTATTTAATGCTTATAATTTATTTAGAACTAATAATTAATTAATTAATTAATATAACTCAATAAATTATAATTATTTAATCGACAAAAATAACAAAGATTAAGAAAAAAGTCCTCACTTCTAATTAATACTTTTATATTTAAAAAAGAAAAAAGAAAAAGAAAATGATAGGTAGAGACGAGTACGAACCAGTGGTTATGATATCTACACAAGAAACATAGAAGCATAGTTGGTGTGTCATCAAGTAACATAGAAGCATCACACCCCTTCACAAATTCAATAGTTCATTCAGAAAATAAAATAAAAATCTCAGTTGGGTACATTGACGTAGCAATCATGGAATTGGAAGCGCATAATACTTCTTGGTTCTCTGGCGAGGGCTTTCTTCATGACATCTCGAACTATTGAGTTCAGCTTCTGGACATGTATTTGAGTAAAACCCAGGTCGGAGATCCGAGGATGCTACTGAGGTTATGTGTAGGAGTAAGATCCCAAACAGAGACATCATCATGTTCATGTCCATGTGTTGGTCGGTGGGTATGTAAAAAAAATGGTCCTTTGTTTTGAATTATATGTGCATTCAAAGGGGAGATGAGAGCATGTGAGTTTGATAACTTTCCCTTTGATGGATATTTAACAGGAGATATAGAGAATGGCTTTGTTATGATGTGTCTTCGAATGATTGGTTCTATATGCAATTTGCAGTGGGCTTTAGCAAATTACAGACCTTCCTTTATAGTGAAGAATTAGCTAAAGAGTTTAAAATATGTGGTACTCATATAGTTACTTTTTTATAATCCTAGTAGATGCTGTTAGTTTTGCTCCTAAATTTGCAGAACATAGACTTGAAGACTGGTACCTTAGACCAATAATGCTAGTTACTAAAGGGTAAATCTCTTTTAGTCACAAGAACAATTTTACCTTTTGCTTTAAGGCTCACCACCCCATTTGAATAATCTGAAAAATGATAATGATAATGATAGAACCAAGTTCTATCCTGGGGAGAAAGAGAGAAGAAATAGAGGAGAGTTGCAAAGATGATATTCAACTTTTCATACCTGTTTTTCCCTCTTTTATTTCCTAACTACAGAGGGGGCACAAGTCACAATCACAATCAGAATCATACCTAAGACTAATACTGACTAACAGAGTTATACTCATCAACTACAATATGCATATACTAGTTTGTACAACAGAACCGTATGGTTACATCACAATACTTACAGTTTATTCTTCCAACAACCTCTTAGGCCTCCCTTCAGCTATGGATCTCTTTTCTTGTAGCCCTTCCAAGTCCAGTTCTTCAGCATGGAACGTTGACCTCTCTCTTTCTCCTTCGTTTGCTGAGAGAGATGTTGGTTTCCTTCAGCTTCTAGATGATTCCCTGATGTACCAATAGGGCTAGCTGGGTTTGGGTAGCTAGTTATTGATGTTGGATTATTAATTGGCCCGTAGTGTATTGGGTCCGTATCAATACCCTCCCCATTAAAAACAACATTGTCCTCAAGGTTGAAGGATGGAAATTACTCTGAGAACTCATACCAAGACTCCTATATAGCATTTTCTGGTGATATACCAGCCCATAGTACTTTTACTTGTTTGATTTGAGTATCCCCTTCTTGCACGACACGAGCATCTATCACCTGTTGAGGTGTCAATACTGGTAATCCTCCTTGAAAAATGTCTGACAAAGGAAAATGTGCCATACCAGAATCTCTTATGAATGGCTTCAGCATAGAGACATGGAACGTGCGGTGAATTTTTGCTTGTGGTGGTAATTCAAGCTTGTAAGCAACTTTACCTACTCTCTTCAAAATTGTAAATGGCCCAAAATAACGTTTAGACAACTTGTGGGACAATCTGTTAGACACAGATGTCTTGTAATGGACATCTCTCTTATGCTTATCTGCATTCTGTTTCATGATGTCTTGTGATCGTAGCAAGTTATCTCTTAGCTGCTGTAAAATTGCTTGTCTATCAACCAAGGTCTTGTCCACTTCTTCTATTGTGGCGGATGCAGTGATATAGTCTAGAATAGAAGAAGGGTCACGTCCATACACTGCTTTAAATGGACACATGTCTACTGAACTGTGATATGTGGTATTGTAACAATACTCAACCCAATGTAATACCTTGTACCATTACTCCGGAATATCAACCACATAACACCTTAGATATTGCTCCAAGGTTCTGTTAACCACTTCAGATTGGCCATCCGATTGTGGGTGGTAGGCAAGAGTATGTTTCAATTGTGTGCTACTATGTTTAAATAACTCAGTCCAAAACTTACTAATAAATATGTGATCTTTATCCGAAATTAGAGATCAAGGACAATCATGT